TGTGTCCACCGCCCGCAGCATCGCGGTGTTGGAGCTCATCTGCGACGTGCACAACCCGGGCCAGGACCTGGTGATCCACCGTACCTCGGTGCCCGCCCCTCTCCACAGCTGCCTGCTCAAAGTAAGCCACCCCGCGCCAGCCCCGGGGTCTCCTCCTGTCCCCGTCCGGCGGCCGCGTGCCCCGTCCCGTGGGAATCCTGGCCCGCCCTGGGTCTGGGGATTCCCTTCCTCGCACCCCGCGCTGGGGTTTATTAAGCAGTCACGGTCGCCGCAGCTGCTTGCGCCCCGTTTCCCAGGATGGCCCCCATCTCCCTAAACGCACTAACACCCCAAGTACCCCCCGATCCGGTCCCGCCAACCCTTCTTTCTCCCCTGCGTTTGGCCGGCAGCTTGAGCAGATTACTGTGTGGGCTATCTGAGACTCCACCCCCTGTTGACCCTGCCTCTACCGTTGCTCCTATTGTCTGAGGCTGACTTTTTTCGAGGTCGTTGGCTGGCTTTGTTTACTGTCTTGTGTCCTTTTCTTGTACCTCTTTTGCAAAAAACCAAAACTGGTCCTTTCTCTTGTCTTAACTATGTCAGCGACTTTATTATGAATGGTCCTTGCCTCTCACCCCGGGCAGATGGTAAATACTGCATCTCGGGGTTTGTACTCTAATTTTTTACTGTTTGGTTTAACATCTTTGGTATGGAGAGTGAAAGTAAAGTCTCCGGAAACAAATGCAGTTCTTAGACTTTAAGTCCAAGGTCTCTGGGTAAATTTAATGACTTCAGCTTCATATAACCTAAGTTTGCCTTCAGAACTTTAGGATTCCTAAAGTTTTGCTGTTTTAATATCAACATTTTCGCCGGGCTCGGTGGCTGACGCCTGTAATCTCAGCACTTTGGAAGGCCAAGGCGAGAGGATTGCCTGAGCCCTGGGGTTCGTGACCAGCCTGGACAACTTGGTGACACCTCGTCTCTACAAGAAATAAAAAATTATCCGGCCGTGGTGGCATGCCTGTGGTTCCAGCTACTTGGAAGACTGAGGCAGGAAGATCACCTGAGCCCAGCAGGTCAAGGCTGGGGTGGCCGTGAGCGTGCCACTGCACTCCAGCCTGGAAAACAGAGTGAGACTCCTACTCAAAAAAAAATTTCAAATTCGATTTTTTTTTTGAATTAGAGTCTCACTCGGTTGCCCAGACTGGAGTGCAGTGGCCACACCTGCAAACTCAACCTGGTGGGCTCCGGCGATCCTTCTGCCTCAGCCTTCCAAATAGCTGGAATCACAGGCGCGCGCTACCACACCCAGCTAGTTTTTGATTTATTGTAGAGACAAGGTCTCGCCAAGTTGCCCAAGTGGGTCTCGAACCCGCAGGCTCAGGCAATCCACTCACCTCAGCCTCCCAAAGGCGCGGGATTACAAGCTGAGCCTCCGAACCCGGCTCAAATTCAATTTTTAAAGTAGTAAGTCATATTGTTACTTTTAGTTGCTTAGAAGTGTAAACACCATATATCCTCTACAGATCTGTATGCTTGCATGTAATCTGTCAAAGTGTATTCATTTGAATACCACTGTGTGCTAGGTGTTGGCCTATGTTCTGGAAATAAAGCAGTGTACAAAACAAGTTCTTGCCCTTATGAAGTATACATTCTTGGGCAAGTCACGAGCAAATGATATTGTAATATCAGGTAGTGATAAGCACTATAAAGATATGTGTCCATATACAGAGAATGTGTATATGAAGTAAAGTTTCTAAGCTCTTACTCTGGACAGCCATTTTATTTTGGTTGTTTTTTTGAGTTGAAGTTTCACTCTGTTGCCCAAACTGGAGTACAGTGGCCACTCCCGGCTACCGCAGCCTCGACCTGCTGGGCTCCGGCGATCCTTCCGCCTCAGCCTTCCAGGTAGCCGCAGTTACAGGCATGCGCTACCACGCCCGGCTGATTTTTTGATTTATTGTAGAGATGAGGTCTCGCCAAGTTGCCCAGGCTGGTCTCGAACCCATGGGCTCAGATAATCCACTTGCCTTGGCCTCCCAAAGTGCTAGGATTATAGGTGTGAGCCACCACGCCCAGCTAATTCAAGTTTCAAACAGACAACTTAATGTTGAATTGGGTCATTCATAAACTTGTATGACTAAGCCCTCTAAGATCTTTTTGAAGAAGATACGAACATATTTGTTCATGTTTAAACAACTCAGGTAGACAGATGCTGGCAATCCTGTGGAACTGAGGACTACACAAAGAGGGAGGCAGAAGAAAGGTATTCTAAAAGGTGTATCCTCTGTTGAAAAGGAACTTAACTGTTTTCAATGATACTCATATGCATGTCAACTAGAGAAAAGTTCTGTGTATCCGATGGTAGAGATTGAATACTTTGGGAGAGAAATTTAAAGAAGGGTGGGATGAGTGAGGAGTCGCTCATTGATCAGGGAAGGTCATCTGGGGGTGAATTTGCAGCGACCCTAAAAGAAGGTGGGGTTTGGGTTGTTAACAAGAAGAGAGGAAAGGGCGTTTCAGGGGGCAGGAGTGAGACTTCAGTCTTATATGCGTACATATTTAAGTCATGAACATAGCTTATTATTGCTTATGTAATGGTGGGTCAGTAGATGAGCTCAAGTAGCTCTTCTAGAAAGTCAGAGAAAGTAAAGTGAGGCCCGTTGGGACTTTGAAGGTCAATCTGAGGAAGTTGGCTTCAATCTAGGAATCACGAAGATGCTGTTACAGTGTCATGAGCATAAACAACTTGGTATGGTTCAGGGATATGAATTTGTCTGAACTAGAGGAAAGAAAATGATTGTTGGGATCAGTATAAAATAGGGGTTAATAAGCTGGGCTTTTGCATAAGGTAGCAAGATAGACCTGTCTATAAAAGGGGGATAATAAAACTGTTTGGGCTTGTTGGAAGATTAAACTAAAAGCCCACAGTCACTTAGCACAGTTCCTGGCACACTGTAAATATTCAAGGTAAAAAGTTAATGCAAGCCGGGCTTGGTGGCTCAGCCTGTAATCCCGCGCCTTTGGGAGGCTGAGGTGA